TAATTTTTTTTTTTTTTTTTTTTAAAAGATTTATAATTATCTATAGTTAGAAATTTGATATCGAAACGAAAGAAGGAGTGAATCGTACATTCCACTTTTAATTGGAAGTAATGAGTACTGGATAAGTAAAGGAAGTAAGTGGAAGAGGAAATGGGAGAAACCGAGAAGAAGAAGGATGATGAAACATGGGTCGAATTTGAGTAATATTTTAATTTAGAATTATTAGGGGTCTAAAAAAAGCACTCGCGACCTTGTTTTTTGTTTGTTTAGCCTGAGGATCTTAGCCGTAAGCTTAAAAAAAAAAAGGTATTTAAGTTGCATTTCGGTATTAAAACTGGTTGGTAGACAGGAATTATAAGCTACGAGCAACAGTCGACATAACCTATCAAAAAATCGACACATGTAAGTCCTTACATGAGTGAAACATGGACGGTTTTAAAACGTGGTATAAGTTTTCTTCAACTAAAATAATATACAGCAGTAACAGTACAAATTATAATTATAATTAATTATAATTAATTATAATTATTATTATTATTATTATTATTATTTATTATTATTATTATTATTATTATTATAATCATCCGGAGAAAACTTTTATTGAAATAAATAATAAAATCTGTGCAATTCATTTTTTTTCATAAATAATATATATATAATATGTATTATAATTATTTATTGTATATTTATTTTACCATTTTACCCCACAGATAAAACATTATAAAGAGAAAATATTTTCCAATTTTTTAAAAAATTTTAATACAGTTACATTTAGCTTTTGCAGTTGGACTAAATCATTTATGGTTACTTTATGAAACATTTTTTTTTTAAAAAAAAGATGAATTCTATTTGATTAAAGACTTTAATGATTATACTACAAACATTATGCGTAAAATAATTACGAGATTGAAAAAGATCGAAAAAATTCTATTTATCATCCGTGTTATAAGACAAAATTTTATTTATTAATTATTATGTGTATCGGAAATTATCACACATAAATAAGATAAACAAAAAATCGTTCCATTAAAGAATTTTATTCAATTAATTCATTCAAATTATTTTCGTGATTATATTGTTTCTCAAATGCATTTAATTTATAAATGATGTCAAAATGTTTTATATATATCCAATAGAATCGATTGATGTTACAATTTAATTTCGGTCAATTAAAATGTAAACTGCGCCACACAATTATAATATAATTAAAAATATATTTATATTATATTTGAACAAATTTGACAACAAACATTACACGGGACGCTAGGACGGGTTTCAAAATTAAAATTAAATAGATAACGTCAAATTCGTTGGCTATCAGATTGGGGGGAGAGGCTTTTTTTTTATTTTGCCGTTGAATAATAATATATAATATATATATACAGTACATATTATATTTTTTAAAAAAAAGATGAACCGTTATAAAATCGAAAAACAAGAGTTTTTTTTTTTTTCCTAGTATACTGTAAAATATATACTGTATAAAAAAAGCCAATATATATATCATTATATAAAACACTTATCGTTAATTAATCTGAAGCGTTTCATAGTTTTTAATTAACTTTATTTTTAATTTGCAAAAATTTTTCTTTTTTTTTGTGTCAACATTTGTGATTCAAACATTTGTACGCGTAACAAAATTATATGTGTAATATTAGTAATATCTTCTAATACCATTTGAAGAGAGAGATATACTTTTTATATTAAATTATTTTATCCTATTTATTTAAATTTTGTTTTCTCAATGAATTGTACAATATGAACTATTTCATTGCTCCAATGAACTTCTATTTAAGTTTTCGTTGTAGATAACTTGTATTTCCTGAGGATAATCAATATAATTCTAAATAAGGTGAAATTAAAGTTAATTCAAATAATGAAATTAAATATTAGAATCTTAATCTTTTCCTAAACAATCGTTAGTTATGGTGGTAATGTTATGGTATATAAAAATTCTTTGCCTAATTACATTTATTTTAGGGTCTCAAGCTGCCGAGTTATAACAGTCATTATATAAATAAATAATAGATCTAGGGGAGGGTGTGCATGTATTCATTCTTTTCAGGGCCAAAATTATAAAATTCTGGCTGACATTATTTAAAAAAAGAAAGATATACATGATGGCCTTTTTTTTTAATGTATGCATAACAAGGGGTTCTTGTTTCAAGCAATCTGCACGAAAATTTTCTATTAACTTAGAATTTTACCCTTGGAAAGTATCACAATTAATGCATAGTCGCGTCACACTCATAAAAAAAAAAAAAAAGTTGATCCGTGTACTATCTATCATATGGTAAATTATTCGGGTTGTTTTAGATTTTGAGATAGCGAAGTATTCGGATAAAGATGAGGATTTTTATTTTTAGATCATAAAAAGAAAAAAAATTTTGAAAGTGATCTATTGTTAGAATTCTTTTAATTATATGGACTTAGTATAATATCTAAAAAAATTTTGTTACATTATTTACATCATAACATTTCGAAAGAAGTTTCTAATTAAATTAAATAAAAATCGGCCGAAATGTTGAAATGAAAAGAGTCACTTTCATAGTCATGCATAATGCAATATTACCGGTTTTTGCATCAATAACATCAATAAAATGACCATAGTAAAGATCTAATGTTGAAAATATTTATGTTTATTTTTATGCGTTGAACAGGTTATGTATGACATCTCCTGATCTCCTGTGATAATGACATAGTAAAAGAAATGTCAGGCTAAATTATCATGAATTCTTCGGCCGGGATTAAAAATAAAAAATCAAATCTATCACGTGATTTCAAATATTTTGTCAAATTAAAAAAAAAAAAAAAAGAAATATATTTTGAAATTTTTTTTTAACAAATATGGTAAAAATACTTTTTTATTTCCGAATAGAATGAACCCTAAAATTTCGATTAACAAATGCAAATGAATTTAGGATACATTCTAATTAAGGACCTGCAGCGATCCCAATACCATATACAGTTTCTTTTTCGCTATTATTGTGAAAATTACGAGACTAACTGGTTTAATATGTGATAGTGATAATTGATTAGGGCCAAGAATTTGTGATAATAATAAAAAAATCTTTATCAGTATTCATTGTACTAATAGTTCCATACGTTAAACTTAATAAGAGGAATAAGACTATATAAAGCTAACCATATAATATACTGTGTAACAAAATATTTCAGCCCGAATATGCACAATATGCAGAAAAAACCTCTAAAAAAAGTAAGCAATTCACATGATTTTACAATCATGTGAAGTATTACACGCCATTTTCGTCGGGCCGGTTAACTCGAATTTTTATATTGAATGCATTTAAACTAACGTGATATAGTTTTGGGATAGATTTTTATTCGTTTCACATGCTCCCAACTTTTAATAAATAATGTAATGGTGGGAAAATCTTATTTTATTTCTTTTCCATTTGGATAAATCGAATCGTTTAAAATCGATTTTTAATCGATTTTAAAACGGGGTTTTTTTTTTCATATCATCTGGGACTAAAATCGACATCTAGAATCTTTAAAATTCTAGAAAAAAAATTGATTAAATGAACAATGGGATAAAATTTATCAATTATTTTACTGTTTTAGCGTAACTATTATCCAAAGCCTTACCAAAAGTCGTAAAAAAAAGAGAGAGAGAAAACTCAGAGATGGAAAAATTGAAGTCTATATTAGATCTGTAGATCCTTAGATAATAAAACCATTATGAGTCACGCGGCAATACTCCAGATTTAATAATATTAAGTGATACAAATATTTCTAATGTTTCAAAAAAGGAGATTTTAAATAAAAAAACCAAATATAACAATTTATTATTTGTAAGAGATAAACCTTATTTACAAAAATATCTATTAATTTTAAGGAGAAAAGAAAATAAAACTTGTTAGTTCTTAGATGAGAAAAAAAATATCAGTGTATGGGAAATTTGCGTAACATTCTTTCAAATTAGAATTCCATGAAAAGAAATTTCGGAAAATCTAATATTCTTTCGTTCGAATTTTTTAATGTCGTGTTATTCATTAAAATTTATATTGTTTTTATAGTTTTATATTAATTCATTTCAAAGAGGGAAAAAACCGATAAATAATAAATATTACCAATATTTTTTTTTGACATTTTTTTTTATAAATAAATAAATATATATATATCAACAATGAAATGTACATTTTATAGGAAGTGAGGCGAAGCAAAATTTTTTTGGCGGGATCACGTGATTTTCTCAATATCAATGATATTTGATTATTAACCAACAAAACTTTCGCGCTAAAACTTTTATCCCAACAGGTTAGACAAAAAAAGAATAAGATCTAAAAAAAAACAATTATTTTTATCCATGAGAGTAAAATGGCGTCTTTGACGTTAATATATAAATGTATATTTTTAAAAAAGTTGTTCGATTATGTGATATGAGAAAATTTCCCTCTAATATTGATTTTGTTTAAATGAAAAAAATGTTATCATTGTGTAATCAAATTGGGCTGATGTTTTTTTTTGCCTTGCATTATTCGTCTATAAAATTACCATTTCATTGTTCTTTTTTATCTTTATTTTAACCCATTTTTTATCATATTGTTAATAATAATATTTTTAATTATAATTATAAAGTCAATTTTAATAATAATAAAAAAAAATCTCGGTCGTTTTGTGCCGATGGGAGTTAAAAGGATTTTTATTACTAAAAGAGTTTAACGTGTTAAATTGTTTTTTTCATGTCGTCTTATTAAAATGATTAAATTTATCCCTTTGTACTATTGTACAATCATTGTACGTTCGATATATGCGGCCGAATTTCCAAAAAGCGAGTATAATGTGACACGACTTTAATGTCAAATAAAGTTCGTTGGCTATTCATTTCTAAATTCAATAATCTGTGCGATTCAATTGTTATCTCTTCGGTTGCGTTTGTATCCGCCATTTTTTTTTTTTTTTGAATAATTAATTATACGGGGAAGCATGTAGCATGTAAGTTATAAATAAAAAGCACATCTTTTTTTGTTGTTATGGTAACTCTTATTCAAGAGTTAAGAAAAAAAAAAAAAAAAAAAAAGAGAATTTGTGATCATAAGTAAAATGTTTAACACCAAACCAAAAAATAAGAACAAAAGTTACCTTTATAACATCCAGTTTTAGCTCCAATATACTTGAGGGCTTGAATAACCCTATNTTTTTTTTTTTTTCCTCCTCTTGTTCATTTTTACCCTAAATATTTAAATAATAATAATATTTTTTTTCTTTTTTGAGAAAAATATTATTAAAAAAATATGTTGAAACGAAATAAGTTTAGGATAGAAGAACGAGTTTCTTTTGGACTTTTTTTAAATGAAAATAGACCTATTATAATGATATTATTTTATATTTGTTTTATTACAATTTTTTTACCTCAGTTCACTTTTGCTCAACAACCTTTAACTCTTAATACTGAAAGTGATCTTAAAGTAATTCAAAGTACTAGTTATCTGGATGGTACTATATTATTAAGATTAACAAAACAAGAACCTAACATAAATTGTAATGTACAAAATTTATGGTTTAATGTAATCGAACCTGATGGAACTTCAAAATCTTTGAATGTTGAAAAACATTCTATTCCTGCTGATAATTTTTGTTCAATTTCAAAATCAACTTTGACTAAAAGGCATCAAACTTTTTCAATGTCAGCAAATATTCATCTTGTTAAAAGACATCCTGAATGTGATGGTGCTAAAGCAACTACTTTTGAATGTTGTTCTAAATATCCTGATAAATGTAAAGATCCAAAATCTGCTGAAAATTCTTGTAGTCAAAATCCTAATCTTGAAGGTTGTAAAGATATTTGTGAAAAAGCTGGTGGTTGTAAAGCTGTTCCAAAATCTCCTTGCGATGATAATCCTTATGGTCCCGGTTGTAAAGTTGATTGTGGATCTGCAAATCCACCTCCGGGATGTGCTAATGTTCCAAATTGCGGAAAGACTCCCGGTGCTGACGGATGTGATAATGGGAAATTAAATTGTCAAACTTATCCAACAAGTCCCGAATGTGGTGGTGTTCCTCCTCCAGTTACTCCTACTCCTGCTACTCCTTCAACTTCTCCTTCGGCTAATCCATCAAGTGCACCACTTGATTGTACAACAACAAATCCATATGGTCCAAATTGTGTAAATGCTCCAGATTGTGGTAAAAATCCTTCTGCCGCAGGTTGTGCAAATCTTCCCAATTGTGCTGGTGCTACTGCAAAAACGGTAGGATGTAATGGTAAAAAATTTGATTGTACCATATATCCAAGAGCTCCCGAGTGTATACCGAATTGTGCTAGTAATCCATTTTTACCTGGATGTAATGATTGTACTTATAATAAAAACGCTTCAGGATGTGATGTATGCAATCAAAATCCACAAGCTGCAAGATGTTTAACTGGTTTTTGTACTAGTTATCCTGATGTACCAGAATGTAGTTTACTTATGACGGATAAAATCAAAATTCATGCGATCACGGAAGGATTTATTTTGGTTACATATCTTTGTAACCCTTCATCAAATGGTGATACTTGTGGTAGTGTGATTGATTGGAAAGGTTTTGAAAGAAGGTATGTAAATAATTATTCCATCACACGTTCTTATTTTATTTAATATATATATATATATTTATTTATTTAATACAGTACTGTTACGTTCGAGAGTTCATGTAATGATGGTCAAATTGTTGAAAACTCTTATGGTAAAGGATTTTTATACATGTGTAATAAATACGCAAGTAAAGAAGTCTTTGGGGTTATTTATGGATCTCCGTAAGTTGAATTAATAATATAAATGTATCATTTCTTTTTATTTAACTCGTTTAATTAATATAATATAATTTAACTTTTTTTTTTTTTTTAGAGATAGAAATGGTGCAGTATCAGTAATTTCATCTAAAACAATAACTACTGTAGAAACATTTAACACGGAACTTGTAAACGGGTTCTCAACGGAAGATGGTGGATATTGTGTAACAACAAGCAATGGTGGATCAGTATTTACTACATTTATACAAAAAGATTATTCACAATCAGTTAGAGGACCTTTTACAATTTATCAAGATAATACGGCAACTAGTATACAAATACTCGTATGTAATATAGCATATCAATCATCTGGCTACAGTTGTGTTATTCAAACAACAAATAATGCAAATCAAGCAACATATACCGAAATTGATTTCTTAAGTAATGGAAATGCTACTACAACAGTATTAGATCTTTCTTCATATACGAATAATAAGGTTATTACGGATATCAAACCATTAAATTATGGTGGCTATGCTATTTTTACAACAGATAGAACTAGTGGGGACGTAATTACATATATTATTGATAATAAAGGAAATTATGGTGGAACTTGGGATCTTCCTCTAGGATTTTACACTTCTGGAATCGTACTTCCTAATAACACTATTGTCGCTATTCCAAAAGATGCTTCAAATGTTGGAACTAATGAAAATAATGGTGGAGCCATTACAATTGAATCATCTGATTCATTTACGAGTTTCTCTTCAAGTAAGTAATTTTTTTTTTAAAAAAAATTATATATATTTTTATATATAAATATGTAAGATATATTAAAAAAAAAATTTTTTTTTTTCCTTTACCTTTTATTTTTATAGTTGAAGGTGGAACTTCTAAATCACCAGGAGGACCAGGAGGATATGGAAGTTCAAAAATATCTAACACAACTCCATCAAAAGGTGCTGAAATTTCTTTGGACACAGCATCAGAACAAAAATTTACCATTTTATATACGGTACCTATAGCTAGTTCAACAGGAAACGTTAGCGTTTATCAAGTTAATGGAAATAGTGTAGTTTTAAAACAATCTGTTTCATCAACAAATGGAGAATTTGTTACATTCGAAAATGGTACTGCCGTTACATTTAGTGTATTATATGGTGCTATAGATGCTTTCAATGCACCTTATTATGTTCAAGTTGATAATGATTTTGTAAAGGAACAATCAAATGGACAAAATGTTATTGGTATTAGACCACAAATTTGGAATTTTACTACAAGTAAGTAATATATATTATAAAATGTTATATGATTTTTTTTTACGTCGTCAACATAATATATTAACAACAAAAAAAAAAATTTTTTTTTTTTTTTTTTTTTTAGAATCAGCAACACCTTTTACATATCAAGAAGGAGGCAAGTTTTTTTGAATTTATAATACGAAATTCGAGATATTTTTTTTTCTTGTCAAATATTAAAGATTTTTTTTTTCTTCTTCAACAGAAGACGAAAGTGCAATTATCCGATTATCAACCGAAGGAACGTCTTATTATACAAAACTTTCTTCAAAAGATAGAGAAGCGTTTGCAGATACAATGAGTGATGAATTAGCTAGTGCAATTTCATGTGAACGAACCCGTTTATCAACTGTAGGTTATCAATATGATGGTCATACAAAAGAAGATCAAGTTATAATGAGAGTTGATATTAAGAAAACAACAGAAGCTAATCAAGTTAGTTCAGAAAAACTTGTACAAGATTTAGATGATGATGTTAAAAATAGAGGTATTAATTCATTAGCAAATGGTAATAGTGCCAGTCTTCTTGACGCATCAAATGGAGCTCCTCGAACTGAAAAACTTTGGAGAAAATATTGGGGATTCCTTCTTGCAGCCCTTCTCTTATTCCTTATATTGACTTTATTATTTATTTTTGCTCGTTTGAGATGTAAAAAAGGAGCAAATAACTTTTTGCCAATTTTCTTATCTGCTTTGATCCCAATTGATATAGCTTTTGATATTGCATTCATGTCACTTCACGGAAGAGATTTCAAATGGGTTCTCCCAACAACGTAAGAAAAATTATATATATATATATATATATTTCTTTTACATCATAACCTTTTCTAACGATATAATCATTTGTTCTTTTATTTATAGTGTTTTATTTTTTGTATTACCAATAGTTCTAAATTTCATGTTAACAAGAAATTTAATTAAAAGAGAAAATGCTAGAAATCGTAAAGAATTTAATAATTGGTGGAAAAATCATCGTGGAATAGCAAATACATTTAAAACAGCATCATACCTTGATACGGATGCATTACAAGTTGTATCATCAGGAGTTGGTGGTGTAGAAAGTTTGAGTGCACCAGTTTCAGAAGAAGGAAGAAAATCAATTCTATTTGCAACAGGAGCTGTAGTATTCTTTGAAGATTTACCTCAATTAATTATTTATTCTGTATATATAGGTTCTCATGTTAAACCAGCTATTGTACCAATTCTCGTATTATCATCATGTTTAATGGTTATAGTATTGAAATCCATTTCTATATTATGTTCCTCATGTTGTTATGGTAAAGGACCAACAGGATCTCAAGGTGAAAAACCTCTTGATGCTATTAGCACTAGCAGTAGTAGTAGTGATGATGATTCAAGTGATGAGAAAGATGATGGTTTTGCTCCTGATGCTAATAAAACAACTACTACACATAATTTACCAAGAACTCAAGATGGACCTCAAGATGGTGGACCTCAAGATGGTGAACCTCATGATAGAGATAATCCAAATACTTTTGGAAATATTCCCACTGGTAAAGATAAACCTAAACCAGCTGATTCTACATCAGAAAAACCAACAAAACCATCACCAACTGATAAAGATGATAGTAAGAGTCCTAAGAAACCGGGACTTCCCGGAATACTTAATTTTGGTAAGAAACCAAAAGATCCTACTGTTCTATCTGATGTTGGAAAACCCGATAAAAAAACTAAAGAAACCGAAGTAACCGAAGAAATCAAGGAACCAATAGAAACAACAGAAGAAAAAGAAACTACAGGAACGAAGACTAAACCTAGAAACAATATTGATAGTACAATTAGAGATAGTACAGTAGAAAATTATGATAATGCTCGAAAGTACCTTGAAGCAACAAAGAAAGATGATGATGATACACCAAATACATCAACAGGTGGTGGAGGTGGATATTCATATGGAGCAGGTATTCCAGTATATTATGGTCTTGGCCCCGCTCCAAAGAACAACAACAAAACTGATAAAATAAATATTGCTACCGGAGCAGCAATTTCTGGAGTTACAGCTGCAGATGGACCAACAGTAAGATATAGTATTATCTATTTAGATGATGATAAAGAAAAAGATAAACCAGTTGATACTATTAAAACTACCACCACAAAAACATCAACACCTGATGGAGATAAACATATTACTAAAACAGATACTGGTAAAGAATATATTACCATTTATATTGATGGAAAATATATTACTAAAATTGGTAATGAAGAATATGTTACCAGAGCAACTAATGATGAAGAATACATTACTAAAATTAATGGTGAAGAATATATCACAATAGTTAGAACTGTAACGACTAAAACTACCACCGCACCTAATACTACAACAACAAGTGATGATAAACAATACATTACCACCAAATCTACTACTGGTAGTAAAGGCAAAAGTCAAGTTGATTATATTGTTATTACATCATCACCAAGTACTACCGTTGAGGAAATAGAAAATATTACTGAAATACAAACTACTATTGAAACTATGATTGAGACAGATGAGAATGGAATCATAACAGAAACTGTAACAGAAAGAACGCCCGATGGAAATGGAATAAATGGAATAACAACTGTTAAAGTGACCACCACCAAAAAAGATCCAAGCGGTAAAGTAATAGATACCGATACAAGGACATATACAGAAAAAACAAGCGATGTTAAAACTGGTAGTCCAACAACGCAAAGGGAAATACAAACTACTATTGAAACTATGATTGAGACAGATGAGAATGGAATTGTAACAGAAACTGTAACAGAAAGAACGCCCGATGGAAATGGAATAAATGGAATAACAACTGTTAAAGTGATCACCACCAAAAAAGATCCAAGCGGTAAAGTAATAGATACCAATACAGAGACATATACAGAAAAAACAAGTGATGTTAAAACTGGTAGTTCAACAAGGCAAATAGAAATACAAACTACTATTGAAACTATGACTGATACAGATAAGAATGGAATTGTAACAGAAACTGTAACAGAAAGAACGCCCGATGGAAATGGAATAAATGGAATAACAACAGTTAAAGTGATCATCACCAAAAAAGATCCAAACGGTAAAGTAATTGATACCGATACAAAGACATATACAGAAAAAACAAGAGATGTTAAAACTGGTAGTTCAAAAACGCAAAAGGGAAAACAAGTAAATACTGAAACTAGTACTGAGACGGATGAGAATGGAATTGTAACAGTGACTGTAACAGAAACAGAGACCGATGAAAATGGCAATACAATTACTAAAGTGACCACCACCAAAAAAGATTCAAGTGGTAAAGTGTTAGAAACCAATACTGAAACAATGTATGGTGTTACCGAATTTGTTACTGAACCGGAAGAAACATATATCACAGGTGATGAAACAACAACAAGAACAGTTTCTTACAATAATGATCCAAGGAGGAAACAAACAAGAACTTTCACCAAAAATGAAACAGATGAGCATGGAATTATGACTGTAACTACAACGACAGAAGTAATCGAAGATGATGGATCAACAACTACTACAGTTGTAACCACCAAAAAAGATCAAAAGGGTAATGAATTAGAATCCAATACTCAAACGTCAAGATCAAATCCGGGAGAAACAATTGTCACAACTAGCGGTGATGCTAAAACTAGTAGTTCAAAAACGCCAAAGAGAAAACAAACAAGAACTAACACTATGAGCCAGACGGATGTGAATGGAATTGTAACAGAAACTACAACAGAAATAGAAACCGATGAAAATGGAAAAACAATTACTAAAGTGACAACTACCAAGAAAGACACAAAAGGAAATGTAATAGAAAGCAATACTGAAACGAAAGAAAGTTTTACTGAACCGGAAGTAACCAAAACTTCATCGAAAGTTAGTTCTATAATTGGACCTTCCATTTATCAACAAGGATTAGAGAAATTGAAAAAGGAAAAAAAATAAATCTACCATCATATCTAAATTTTAATAATGATAATCTAAGTTCCAATTAAAATGCTTAAGGAAAAAAAAATATATATAATATTATAATATTGTTATTTAAAACTGTCTTTTCTTTTTTATATTTTTAATTTATTATTTATTTTTTTTTACTTTTTCTATTTACACAAATTTTTTTAATAATGTATCTTTAAAATTTTTTTGGTTCGATAGCAGGATTAGATTATTAATGGGTTTTTAAAAAAAAGATAAAAAAAACACTAGATTTAGCCGAAAAAAAAAAATATATAATTAATGATAATGTAAACCAATTTATATACAATTAAAATATTATAAAAAATAAAAATAAAATAAGTGTTTTTTTTTTCTTTTATAAAAATATTTACTATATCGTCTTACTATATCGTGGTGGTTTGTTATTATTTGAAAGATTACAAAAATTACATGTTAACCCATCACATGACCTCTCATCATCTATATTATTATTATTATTATAAGAATTCCCAAGAATCAATTCAGCGATTCTTTGATATTCAGGATGACAAGGACAATAAAAACTAACATCATCATAATTCGGTAATAAAACATCATCATTTCTAACCAAACGACTTAATAAATTAATTCCTATATTAAAATATAATTTACTTTTAATACCATAATCACTTTTTGTAATACTTACTAATAAACAAAATCTTAATTCATGCTTAATTCTAATTAATGGAGTATCTACACTATGATGTATAATAATATCCCTACATTTATTTAATTCAAAATTCATATTTGTTTCATAAATTTTATCATAATGTTCATTAAAACGAATAATATTATTATAATTTGAATTCTTAATAGTTTCAGTATGATCATCATCTTTCATATAAGTAATTTTCTGTAATAAGAAACATTCTATTGAATGTAATCTAAATTGTTTAATTAAAGGTATTATTTTAATATTAATAGGAATAATATCATCAAGAGTGTAGGATTTTTTTGGTATTGATAATTGATAATCTATAATTTTATCATAACTTCTGGATATTTCTATACCACTATAATTAATATAATCTGTTAACATTCTTATTATTTCAACTTCACGAGTCGATGAAAGAGTTTTCAAATATAATGTTGTTATATAATCAATCTTAAATTTTAATTTATATTTTACTGATCCTGAATCTGATTTAACCGACCCCGGTAATGATCCTGGTAAATGAATTTCGAATGATAATTTATGTGTTCCCGATGAGAATGTATAATAACGTTCCTTAACGCTTGGGGATGAGAATAATGGTTTGGAAAAGATTTTAATCGGAAAGGTAGATGAAGAAGAGGATGTTGATGTAATAGTAGTATTAGATGTTGAATGACTCAATAAATTTATATTTTGTGAAATAATCTCTTCTTTATATTTGTCTATTGTTCCGAATGCTAAAAGAAACAAAGAAAATTCGAGAATATAATTTTATTAAAAAAAAAATTTGTAGGGTAAAAAAAAAAAAGATAATAATAATAATGATACTTACCACCATTTGGACGAACAATTTTAGTTCTTCCAATAAATTTCAATTCAATAGAACCAATTTTCATTGGTTTATTTAAAGTTAATATGATTTCACCTCTTAATAATGATCCAACTGATTCATTTACATTTCCACGAATTATTACAACTGGATCAAATAAATTTATTTGTATAATATCATTTGATATATTATTAATAGGATTAGATTTATCAATGATACAATCGTGGGATGATTTATCTTGTAAATTTGAATCATAGATACGATTAGGGTTTGAAGAGATCATTGTAAAATGATGCTTTNTTTTTTTTTTTTTTTTTTTTTTTTTTTTTAAAAAAAAAAAAAACCAAAATTCGGTTCCCTTTATATATATATTTCAATTTTTTTTTTAAAAAATTACATTCAAATATAAAATCAAATTTTTTTTATAATCACGCGTATTTAACCAATTTTAATTGTATTTGATTTTCAAAATACATGCAAAACAATACAACAATACATTTTATGAGAATATAAGAATCAATTTTTTCTTATAAACAATGAATTTTTAACCGAGAAATTCGAACGGAAACGGATAAATAGAAAAAACTTTGTCACCAATAAATGACGAATGATATCATAGATCAATCTTGTATAGAACATATATGGAAAAAACTTAAATTTTTTGTAGTTGTACAAACTATTACTCATTATTAATACGCGTTCTGCGCCATTTGCGCCAAATTTTCATCTTCCCTCCACTGCATGCACTGCGGTTATAAGCATTAGTAATAGATTTTCAATTTTCTCTGGGAAAATCTAAATCTAATGTAATTTCAGAATTTTCAATATATTCATTAACATTAACATTAACATTATTATTATTATCATTTACAATAATTTCGAACATATCAGTTTGTGGAGGAGTAAATGACGGAGGAACAAAAGGTTGATAAGCTTTATGTGGTGGAACATAATAACAACACGGTAAACATATTGCCGCCGTACGATTTCCTCCAAATATTAGTAATAAAATTATTCCACTAGAAAAGAAAAGAAAAAGTACAAATTAAGTAATTCAGTCCCAATCTAAATAAAAGAGGAAAGGTTTATTATACATGTAATACTCACGCAATTGCAGATGTAAAATCACCAAAACAATAACTATCTTCAGCGTAATTAGTTAATTCTTTATTACCAATTCTTAATTGTTTTATTATATCCGAAATAATATAACATCCTAATAATGCAGTATATATAATTATATAAATAAATAAACGTACTGCATAACCCAATTTAATAGCCGTCCTTCTATTTTGATTATTATTAAATATTTTCCATTTTCGATATAATATAATTATCGAAAAGACTAATAATGAAGATTTATAAAATTAATAAAGAAAGATTCAAAGAAGAATTCGCGAAAAAAAAAAAAATATTTATATATATTTGAAAAACTCACGTGAAATTATTGTGGCAACTAAAAAAATAGATACAATAAATTGATAAACCCAAAAATGATTCCAATTATTTGTTACCTTGTAAGCTTCACAATAAAATCTTGTTGCTATAATACCTCCATTCTCATCATTACGAGTAATAATTAATATTAAAGAATTATAAAATAAAGAAAGAATCCAAGTTATTGAAGTTAAAGTCCAAAACCATTTTTTTTCTATATTTAAATCTAACTTTGGTTTTAAAAGTCCGTAAAAATAAAATGATAATTCAATAGGTAATAAATTTAAAGGATAAAAGAAAAAAGATGCAACTCTAAATTGAATCATACATAAATTTGATGTAAATGCTTTCTCCAATAAATTATCACCATATATTAATATCGAAGGTAATGTTGATATGCTATAACCTAATGCTGCTATACATAATTGAAATAATGTCCATTTTGTTAAATATGATGGTGATTTTATTATTACTATCATAAGAAGTAATACTGATATAATATTAATTATTGAAATAATTATAAAAATTATGCTCCAGATTGAATAATTTTTCATTTTTATATGTGATTTTTTTATTTTTATTTTCCGTGAAATCATCTGTTGTTAAAATTTTCAAGTTAAAATTTTGTAATGGTATTGTGTAAAAAAAGTTGTCATTAACTCCTACCCTTTGGGATTCTTATACCGTATGTTAAGAAAATCTCCGCTATTTTTAGACCATCCGTTCCCTTAAGCTTTTAGAATTTAAATATTATTTGTCATAAAAAATGGTTCATCAAACAATCGAAAGAAATTCATTATGAAAATGAATTAGGAAATTAATAAGATTTAATGTAAAATTCCGGAGTTTTATGAAGATTTTTCTAATATAAGCTTGGTTTAAAATGGTGGGGTATTTGGGGTAAAATTCGGGATAAACCAACTTTATGGCTGTTTTTTGTTATATTATAAAAGCTATAAATTTTGTATATGTGATGATCTTCATAGTAAAATTCAGAAATTTAATAAATAGTAACCGCGTGTATTTCGTATATCAAAAATGTCAACGAAAATCTCATTTTTTATTAAAGATCATCCCGACATAATAGACAGTATTAAAAAATTTTCTAATGATCTACCAATTTCCGAATAATTACATATATGGAATTTTTAAATAATAGTCACAGTGCGCAGTTACGCAGTGTACAGTGCCTGGAAATAAGTCAGTAAGCACGTGACTGTAGATCATTTATTTGTTTAACTTTAAAACCAGTTTTGTCGATCATTTTATTATAAATTTGTCTCCAATTTTTTCCCATGCGTTGTTTAGAACCTTCTTTAACTACTATGTCTTGCAAACGAAGAGAACTTACAATTTTTGAACGTGGAGAAGTCATTGGAGCTTGGAAAATGTGGAGTAAGTGAACGAAAGATAGCTGAAGCATTAAATTGTCCCAGTTGTACCATTCATAAGGTTATTTCTACTTACAAGATACGTGGTGATGAAACACTCCCTCCTAGGACTGGAAGACCGCCTAAAATGACAGAAAGGGATGGCCGACATTTAATAAGAATTCTTAAAAAAGATAGGAAAATGACCCTTCAGGAGTTACATGAGAATTTCGTTGATTCTACTTCCACACATGTATGCAAAAAAACTTTACTTAATTATCTTCATGAACAAGGTTTTTATAGTCGAGTAGGAGTAAGAAAACCTCTTGTTACTGAAACAAATAGAATTAAAAGACTCAACTGGGCCAAAGAACGAAAATTATGGATAAATGAGTGGGACAGTGTTATTTGGAGCGACGAATCCAAATTTGAATTATTCAGAGGAAATGGTAGGAGATTGGTTTGGAGAAGGCCACATGAAAAATATGATATTGAGTGTTTAATACCTACAGTAAAGTCAGGTCAACAAGGAGTGATGGTTTGGAGATGTTTTTCAAAAAACAATCTTGGTCCATTAGTTAAATTAGAAGGTAAAATAACAGCCACAGTATATATGAATGTACTGGAAAATTATTTATTACCATTTATTAATAATTTAGACGATCAGGAAAATTTTATTTTTCAGGATGATAATGCCCCTATACATACTGCAAGGGTGGTTAAGAGTTGGGAAGAAGAAAATGAAGTAAACAGCCTTCCTTGGCCCGCACAGAGCCCAGATTTGAATCCTATAGAGCATTTATGGGATGAATTGGAAAGGCAGGTGCGGGCACATAAGCCATTACCAAAAAACAGGGAGAATTTATGGGAAATACTTCAAGAGGAATGGTCAAATATTGAAGCTGATAAATATCAAAATCTTATTAGTAGCATGCCTCGTCGTATCTCTGCTGTTATAAATAGTAAAGGTTACCCAACAAAGTATTAATAAAAAGTTGAAGGCTTTGTCTTTCAAATAAAAAAAAAGATATTAAATTTGGCGTAGTAATTTATGAATTATTTAATTTTAAAAATTCGCATTAAAATTGATCGACATCACGTGCTTACTGACTTTTTTCCAGGCACTGTACATCAATGTTTGATTTTAACTAATATTAAATATTGATATGTAATATGATTTCTAAATAGAATTAAAAAGGTTAGTCAAGGATAATAATTGACTCGACTAATAAATATACATCATGTTTATTGTTTCCTCCAAGAGGAAGAATACTAACTATATTTAGATCCAAATAATATTAATGCAGGCCCTGCTCAACACGCTGTATTGTTATTTATGCTGCGATCTCAAAAGCATTTTATCTCCGGATAGTTGAATATTTTATTTGAAATGTACAAACGCTTGGATCTAAAGAATAAGTTATCTCTTGTTTTTTTTTCTTTTGCTACCTTGTCATATTTACCTGATCATTATCGTCAATCATGCCTCACTAATGAAAAGATTTTAAACTAGATTTACCAGATTTGAAGATTTGTGCACGAATATTTTATTACCTGCCCGCGTACGAGGATCATTTGCTCATATATATATATATATATATATGCATATAAGTTTTTGACTGACGAGCTTGATAGCATTGTTATGGATAGGTTTCTTACCCCGCTTTCAAATAATATAAATTACACCAATAGGAAAAATTTCATTGTTAAGTTTTCCATTATGCGGGAGAAATATCCTATTTGTGGAAGAAACTTCCGAAGTCAGACGAAACTATTTTCGTGAAATCCGAAATCTCTGACTAAAAATGGAATTGATATAACCTGATATAACGTGCGCATTACACTAACAATCTCCGAGAATCCCAAATAACGCTTTCCCCAGATTTTAGCATTTTATAAAGTTTACGTGACATTAAATATGAGTATCATACGGAGTTTGGAACTTTAGAGTTTAAGATTAAAATATTTCGATAATTGAGATCCATACGGATGAGTTTAGAATCGCCAATCACAAACTATTTTCGTTCGCAACATTATTGATGACCATGTAGATCAACACTATGACATATTTAAGTAAGGTATATGCATTTATTATTAAAATTTTTTTCATCAAATATAAAACATTATTCTATACCCTCCTTTTTGAAATAATTTTTAAAGATAAAATCTAAGAGTAAAATGAAAATTATGAATTTAATAACAGATTTCAAAAAATCAAAAAAGCTATTTTGTGATGAATTATCATCTATAACGACATCATCATCAGAATCAGATTCTTCTTCTTTTGAATCAGAATCAGAATAACTTGAATCCGAATCCTTATCTAATAAAAAAAATAGAATTTTAAAATTTGTCAGTCTATTGAAATGAATATATATCTTAAAAGTATGTAAAAAAAAAAAAAAATTATTACTTGAAGTTTTTTCTTGTAACATTTCTTGTTTTTCCTTCGTAAATTCTTTGACTTTTTTCATAATCATTTTATCAAAAGAATCAACAGGATTTAATGTAATTTTACCATTTCTATTATAAGATGCGTATAACCCAATTATTGTAACAAACTTATTACCAAATCTATTATTAGCAAATGTTTTATATTCTCTAATTTGATTTTTAATAAATTTTTTATTTTCTATATAATTAAATTTATTATTAACCCCAATTATAGCTAAAATACCAACTTCAGATACAAAGAGTAAATTACCAGAATGATGATTTCCTCCTTCATTATTAAATTCATAAAAATATTCAAATCCTGGTAAATTTTTTTCTTGATTTAAAACAATTTCTGTTATAATTTCTAATTCTGTATTTATTCCTTCAAATTTCATATTATCAAGAAACCATTTATTTTTTGTTCCAATATGTATCCTTTCAAAATCTTTTTTATGAGGTTCATATAATTTTAATGATAATGATAAAAGATCTTTTAATAAATTATCTTGATCCCAACCAATTTCAAAATGTTTTTGTTTATTTGGAATTTTAATCTCTCTTAATTGAACATTTATTCTTTTTGAATCAATATATTCTTTTATAATTTCAATAATATCCTCAGGAATTGAATTTTCAAATTTATGATTTTGAAGAATTTTGAATAAAATATTTAATACTTCAATAGTAATTTTATCTTCACCCTCCATTATTTAAAAATTTGAATAAAAAAAAGAAAAGAAGAAGGAAAAAAAAGACGGGGATTGTACACTAAAAAAAAAAATATTTTAATTTAAATAGTTAGAATATTAGGTATCGGTAATCATAATTACACACACCGGTTACACTATTAAATGCGATTTTCGAAATTATATAAATGCGGTTAATTTTTTTGAACACAACCCTTTTTTATATGATTTCCCCCCTTTTTTTTTCTGTTTTAAAAAAAATAATAAAAAAAAAATAAAAAAAATACCTCAAAAAAAAAATGGCAAAGTCAACTTTTCCTATCGAATGTATAAATGAAATTTTCAAACATTTTGAAAATGATACAACATCTTTACATTCATGTTTATTAGTAAATAGATTATGGTGTAGAACAATTATACCTATACTTTGGCGTAAACCATTTTCTTTAATGCAACGTTCGATTAAATTTTCTCTTAGTTTAATAGAAATATATCTTTTATTTCTTAATGAAGAAGAAAAACAACTTCGTAAATATCATCCTGAACTTTATCCAATTTTTAAAAAAGTTTTATTTAATTATCCAAGTTTTTTAAAAGAATTTTATTATGAAACAATGTTTTCAAGTATAAAACTTTGGGTTAAAACAACTATAACAATAACATCATCACAATTTGATAATCAATATAATTCTAATTATATCAACAAAATATCTCATAGATTATCTCAAAGTTTATTTAAAATGTTTTTGAGAAATAATGCTAAAGTTTATCTTTTAAATATTAAATCATTTGAAAATAATCCTGATTTTCCTTATTTACCTAAAGATTCATTTTCTACTTCATTTTCAAATCTTAAAATTTTTCAATTTAGTGTTGATTCACAACCTTTATATAATTTACCAAATACTTATTCTTTTTTAAAATCTTTATCCCAATCTTGTAATACTTTATCTCATATATTTATTGATTCTTATTTTAATAATAATGATGATGGTAAAGAAGAAATATTTTTTAATATAATTAAATCTCAAAGAAATATTAAAAAATTTATAATTAATTCTCATGGTAATATACCAAAATCAATTTTAAATTTATTAATTAATCAATCTTCTCTTGTTTTATTACATTTTATAGATACTAAATTTAATAATTTATTTCCTTTTGAAATTTTATTAAATTGTAATAATTTAAAATTTCTTTTAATTGTAAATTGTCATGAACTTGAACATAATAACAATACTATTAATAACAATAATAGTAATAATAGTAATAATACATCACTATCATCACATACTATTCCTTCATCTCATACTATTACTTCCTTATCATCATCATCTTCATCATCATCATCACCCTCTCCAAAGAATATAAAATGTAAAATAGATACACTTCATTTAAAAAATAATCATTTTCTTCCTTTAACAATATCAAATTTAATTCAATTATCAGGAATTAATTTAACTACTTTATGTTTGGATAGAACTACTTCTTATATTATATTATCAAAACCTCTTTCAATTCATTGTCCTAATATTACTCATTTAATATTAACTCTTGATTCTATAAGTTTCTTTCAATCTGTTCAATCAATAATTTCTAATTTAAATCTTAAATATTTTGGTATAAGAAGTTTTGGTTGGACAAATGAATTGATTTCTGATTTAGGAAATTATTTACCTATTTCATTAAAATATTTAGAATTATCATGTTTTTTTGATTATGAGGCTTTATATATGTTATTGAAAAATTGTAAATGTAAATTAAGAGGGTTAATTATGATAATGTTTAATGATGATTATTTAAAATTCATTATTGATTATGCAAAAATTAATGATGAATTCAATTTATTGGGTATAGATGGTTATCTTGCTGAAGATGATGAATCTTCTTTTTTAAAAATATTAAAAGAAGAAACAAATGTAAAGATTGTTGATCAAGATGAAATCAAATTTGAATCTTCCCCTTTGTATTTTGATTATCTATATAAAAGATAATAAGATAATAAAGTTATTATTATATGAAACTTATAACTAAAGATCCTCGATAATTATTTCTTCATGTTTATGTAAATCTTTAGTGTCCATATGACTTCGGTAATTTATATCGGGGTAATTTACGTTTACGTGACTTGGCCGAAATTATGGCATTAACATATAAAGAGTGGCGTATTATGTGACAAATAAATCGGTGACAGATAGGATTTCACGCAGCGGAAAGGTGTGACGAGAGGTGAAAAACTGACAATTATTTATAAAATGATCACGTGAACGTGAAATTTTGTTGGCGACGTTGGGGAAGATAATTTACGGTCATCTACGTATTATGTAAGGTATTATTCAGGTACAAATTAAATATAATAATGCGTGAAAATCCTATTATTTTACGCTTTCAATCTTTTTGGTCTAATAATTTTTCAGTAATAACTAATAATTTTCAGTAATAATTTTCAGTAATAATTTTTTAATATATATATTACCTATTCAAAAGAATACTTGCCCAAATATATGACAATGGAAAATTTCAGATTTATTGACTTTATTGACAAAAAAATATTAAGCTAAAGGAAAACTCCTGGGTAGAAGTCCTTCCTCTATATACAGGTAGTGATGAACAATGGGCATGTGTGTAGGTTAGTGTGGCCCGCCGCAGTGATGGGAAATTCCGGTTTCCAATGACAATTTTACTGGAATTTGGAATATTGGAATTTTGATTCCAAATTGATTCCAATGGCCTCTGGAATCTGGAAATTTGATTCCAGTACTTTAAAAACCACTGGAATCAATCTGGAATACATGTTTCCAGATCCAGATTCCAGAAAATACCAATACTGGCCTGCCGTCACCATTTACAACCTATGTGGTACCACCTGCTTGATTATACGAGGTTGCAACCCCGAAATGCCATTACGGTTGTGAATGTCCATGTCGTACAACCTGGGTACTATAAACAAAGTACACTATTAAGCTAAAGTGTATAGTTCCGATTATTATTATTTTGCATAATAATAACAAAATTTATGTGTGATATTTTAATTTAGTAATGTAAATTATCATATTTCATTTATTATTTATTTGTGTTATCAAAACATTTTTGTGTATAATTAATTATCATAAATAAATAATTAATTTAGAAATGATATAAAGCGAATTTAACAAATTTAATGAATATAATGGATTATATAAAGCGAATTTAAACAAATGTAATGAGCATAATGAATTATATAAAGCGAATTTAAACAAATTTAATGAACATAATGAATTATATAAAGCGAATTTAAACAAATTTAATGAACATAATGAATTATATAAAACGAATTTAAACAAATGTAATGAATATAATGAATTATATAAAACGAATTTAAACAAATTTAATGAATATAAAGGATTTGATAATTTTCATTCATTTAATTATAAAATATATTGGCTATATTTAACATATCGAAATACGGATTGATTTAAAAAGAATATAATAATTAATTAATTAATTAAATACGGATTTAAAATGAATATAATAAATTTAAATAAATAAATTAAACGATATAAATGAATAATTCATATTAATAATTTATAATGATTATAATGTATTAAGTTTTGATTAAATAAAACGAACTTATCTTTTTAATAAATTAAACGAATATAATGAATTAAGTAATTCATTTGTCAAATCCCTAAATCGATTATCCCTAAATCGATTATCCCTAAAACATTTTAATTTCTAAATCAAAAAGAATTTAAAGAATATAATGAATTAAGTAATTCATTCATTCTTCAAAATTGTTAGAAAATTTATATAGTAATTCGATCTGTTGATCAGGGAAAGATTGTTAGTAAATTGGGCAGAACCTATTCGGAATGGATGTAACTTCGTTTGTTTACGCTTACAGTACCTAAATTTTCCGATCCGAATTGTACTATTTAAATTATTACTGCCATATATTAATCAATAAAAGAAATTTATTTAATTTAAAAATTATATGGTAAACAAAATATTGTAATATACTGAATAAAATTGAACTTGATGGATCATTTGCTGATTAAATATACATTTATTGAAATCTTTATGAATACTGTCTATTATCGGTAAATAAAATCCAAAAATTTTCAAACTTTTTAAAATACTGTACGTAATTATTATAAAAGTATCTCTTTAACTGTATTCTGGATTTATTTACCTGGAATTTATTAATAATTTTACAGTTAGAGGGATAATACTCGAAACCTGAAACTTTTGCAAAAAAAAAAAAATTTTATCCGAATAATTCCGTCATATCATCATCATATTTTCTGTAAAAGCCTGTGAATTTGGGTCGACCTTTTTTTGCAGGAGGTTTCGTGTTACATATAAAGTTTGTGATAAAATAATTAGTAGTATATCGAAACCTGAAACTTGTCCCGGCATGTCCCGTATTGCACGGTATCGTGCGTGCTTGATAAATGGAATGATGTGATTTGCAGGGCGTTACATATTTAGTTTGTGATAAATAAATACTAACCCTGCAAAGTCAATGATATTGAAACAAAGGGAGATAAATGATGTTTATGATGTTTGAATACGCTTTTTTTTCTCCCAGAATCATTTATAAATTTCTTTCAATAATTAAATATTAATAAGGCTGTATTTTGTTTAACATGTCATTAAATCTCAAACAAGGTAATGTATGTTACTGTGCTTAAATTGATCTTTCAAATTTGATTGCATTCTCTATTGGCGAATCTATGCTGAGACCAACATCTGAAAGTACAGTGGGTCATGAGAAAATTGGATTGTAAAAAAAATTTTTTTTTTTTTTTTTCATTGAATGACTAAAAAGGTATTCAAGCATGCCTTTGGTTATACTTATCAACAGGATTGCACATAGGCGTTTAGGATGCAGGTTGTAAGTTCAACGAACACGAACCATAAATGAACAATACAACCTGCCAGTCGATTACTAAAGGAGTCCAACTTTAATCAATCATCCATGTTTAATAAATTCCTAAAAATTTTAACTTGCATGTACAGCATACATCAAAAAAAACCCAGATATCGATATTAGATTATTAAATCTCCTCTTCTTCCCCTTTCTCACTCTTCAAAATTTTTAGTTTTTTGTGGAACAGTTTAATGTAATGGTCAGCGGTTTTCATCTGAAGATGTTCAAGCGATGTCTACACAATCTACACAATCTACGCACGAATGATTTTCCTCAAGTTACCTTTTTAGGTTTAACATAAAAGTTGACACTATTGGTGATTGACAAGGTGCGGGGTCATTGCATAATAATGTATAAATCAGAGAACTCAATGCAAGATTATTGAACACCTTCAGCCACCCTGTACATGTCAGAAGTCAGAACCTTTTCTTTAAGGAGAAAGGAGAAAGAAAACAATCTACCTAATCTACTTTGAAAAATAAAGTAATTTCGAATGTATATCAATTCTCCTCAAAAAAAATCTTATGATATGGCGCTATGGTACTGAACCATGAATGGTGCGGTATGCTATGCGAACTGATTAAAAGGTAAAAAAACATTTATTTTATTTGATCAAAATAATACTAATAATAAAAAAAAAAAGAAAAAAAAAAAAAAAAAAAAAAAGGGATCAACGATTATAATTACCTTAATGATAAAATGACCAAAATGCTTTGTTTTTATTAAAAAGAAGTATTTTTTAACGAAATAGTAATAAGTACACCGATTGATTGTAAACCTTGCATGAAAAATAAAGAACGGGTATACGGCTAAAATATTTTTCTTTTTTAATATATAATAATAATAATAAAAGATTTGAATCAAACTGTAAATAAATTAGTCCATTGTTCGTTATAAAATGTAATTTATAATGAAAACTTATGTACGCCTTTTTTTAAAGTTTAGTTAAATTTAGTTCAATCAATAATTACATAAACTTTATAAGATGCATAAACAAATGATTCTTGTAGAATTTCTAATGAATATTTTTTAAAAAAAAATATTTTTTGTGTTTGAATTTATAATCATGTGCACATTTATATAATACCGACCTGAATTTTATGGTATTTGGTATATACAACATCCCGTTAACACTCCGTTGTCTAATATTATTTCTGGAATAGAATTTTATTCACGTGATATATTTGATTTTCCGTATAAGGGTTACAACTTACAACGATTTAATATGTCATTTACAAATTAGGTATTTCGTAGTAATTTTTATTGATTTTATTAAAAAGAAAAACTAATTAAGTTACTTTCATAGGTGGTGATCTACATTTGTTATGTAATCATTCCTTTAATATTTCCACGAAATAAGCATATTCATTAAAGAAAAAGGATTGCGTTGTTTTTCGTAAGATTTCAGGAATTTTAACCATTTTATAATTAACTACCGTATCAAGATGGTCCGCAAGATGATGTGTATATATATATAAATAATTTTCGTCGGTAATAATTTTTCGTCGGGAATCTGTTTAATCTATTTTTATTATTATTTTTTGTTTTTAAAAGAAAAATTATGACATCTTACGTAAAAATTCCTTCGCATCTTAGACCATCTGATCCACAAGGTCCAGATTTATTAACACAAGAGAGAGAATCCGCATCATTCGATGTTAAAGAACTTACATTACTTTTATATGGTATTAAAGATTTGGAACGTTATCATAAAATTTTGAATATAATTGAAAATGATCCCGTATTCGATAAAACCAATATATATTTTATGGGAAGGGATAAATTATTTGAATATACTATAAAAAAAGAAAAAAGATTGGTACAATTAATTAAGTATGTAAATTTATTTATTATATAATCTACGGTTACGCGACATTTCGCCGAAAGCCATTTCGCCGAAAGGACATTTCAACGAAAAATAGTCTACATATATATATATTTACTTACTTGTTTTAAAAATCTGATATTTTTACAGGGAAAACAAATGGAATGTAGAAGAACTTCAATATGCAGAATGGTTCCTTGATATGCCAGGACCTGTACGTGATATTATTTTATTTATTTGAATTTCGACTTTAATTCCAATTAATTTCAACTAATTCCAACTAATTCCAACTAATTCCAATTAATTCCAACTTATTCCAACTAATGCCGACTAGTTTGGTGCTCATCGAGGGATGTTTATACCAACTTTAATCGGTCATGGAACGGAAGAACAAAAGAAAAAATTTCTTATTCCGGCTAAAAATTATCAAATCATTGGATGTTACGCACAAACAGAATTAGGTCATGGTTCCAATGTTCAAGGATTAGAAACTACCTCCACTTATATTCCAGAAACTGATGAATTTGAAATACATTCTCCTTTTTTGACTTCTTCTAAATGGTGGATTGGAGGTTTAGGAAGAACCGCGTTAGTATTAATATTATATTTCTGATATTCTGACATAGTTTTCAAATTTTTTAATGTGACTAAATTTATTACAGTACCCATGCTATTGTTATGGCTCAATTGAAAAGTAATGGAAAAGATTATGGTCCTCATCCATTTATCGTTCAAATTCGAGATTTGGAAACCCATTTACCTTTACCTGGTATTACGATTGGAGACATTGGTCCTAAATTTGGGTAAATATAAAGTTATTACTTTGATATTTTTTTTAAAAAAATATATATAAATAAATATATATATGTATGTATATACTTCTTTCTTTTTTAGTTTTAATGCTACTGATAATGGATTTATGTTATTTGAACATGTACGAATTCCACGGTTTAATATGCTTTCTAAATACTGTCAAATTGAGAAAGCTACTGGAAAATATATAAGTCCACCAAATGATAAGATAAATTATGGTATCATGGTTTTGATTCGTTCTTTAATTGTTACAGGTGTACGTGTTACACTTGCGCGTGCTGCTACAATTGCAATTCGTTATTCTGCCATACGTAGACAATTTATTGATAAAGATGAACCAAAAAAGTTGAAAGATGGGTAAGTTAAAAAAGTTAATAATGTTTATAATGTTTTGAGATACTCTGTTAAATATGTTTAAAAATTTTTTTTTTATCGTTTAGTCGTATAGTTGAAACTTCAGTATTGGATTATACTATGCAACAATATAGATTATTTCCTATAATTGCCCAATCATACGCGTGTTTTTTTACATCAAAAGCTATGAATAATTTATATACAAAATATATGGAACAAAGTTCTGATGGAAATTATTCTTTATTAGCAGATATACATGCTTCAAGTTCAGGATTAAAATCTTTAACTACTACTATGGCAGTAGAATCAATTGAAGATTGTAGAAGAGCATGTGGAGGTCATGGATATTCAAGTTTTAGTGGATTTGTTAAATTTTATCAAGATTATTTACCGAATACTACTTGGGAAGGTGATAATTATGTTTTAACTCAACAAACTGCTCGTTATGTAAGTAAATCATATATACAGTACTGTATATATAAAAGAATCAATATATATATATATATATAGTTAACAATTCTTTTTTTTTTCTTTTAGCTCATGAAAACTTTTCGAAAAGTAACAAAAAATCCCAAAAAATACGCGTCACAAATTGGTACCAATCCAACAATTACTTATATTTTACAATATCTTAATGAACCTAATCAAAAATGTATGGCAACAACACCTTTAAATTTTAATAATCAAGAATTTCAATTGAAAGCATTTAGACATCGTATAGCATATTTACTTGCAAATGCAGTTGATCAAATAGATAATCAAAAAAAATCTTGGAATTCAATGTTGGTAGAAATCAATCGAATTTCACATGCACATTGTCAATATCTTTTGGTACAAAATTTTATAACAGCACTTCAATATAATTCACAACAACAAATTAATGATGAAAGTTTAAATATATTACATAATAGTACGTCATTGAAAAAAGTTATGACATCACTATGTAATTTATTCGTATTACATACGATGGAAAAAGATGTAGGAGAATTTTTAGAAAGTGAATATTTAACTTCATCACAAGCAAGATTATTAAGAACTCAAGTTTATAATTTATTAAAAGAAATCAGACCAAATGCTGTTAGTTTAGTTGATGCATTTCTTATTCCTGATGCTTTATTAAGTTCAGCACTTGGAAGATATGATGGAAAAGTTTATGAAACGATGATCGATTGGGCTTCTAAAGAACCATTAAATGGAATAATCTTGAATATTGATCCCAATAATAATAATACAATACTAGAAAAAGCCAAACTTTAAAGTATTCAGTAATGAAATTTAATGAATATAATAAATAAATAAATAATAAATAAATAATAATCAATTATTCAAAAAATCGGTTTGAAAACCTAACGTGATTTTTTATCATGTAACACCAAAAAAAAAAAAAGATTTCCAGATTTCCAGATTGGAAAGTCAATTTATGCTAAACTACTTAAATTGTATTTTTGTTGATAAAAAAATAATTTATTTTATAATTTATAATCAAATGTTTTGGCGCGTGGAATAAAAAATAATAAGTAAAATATCGCGTGAAGTAATTCAAGATTTCTATAAAAGAATAAATAATTAATAAAAATAGTAAAATTTGATGCATTGTAAATTACCTTTTTCTTAACAAATTCTTGTTTGAAAAACATATAAATAATGCGCAGCCTCAAAATTTCCGGTTAATTATCCGGAATTTTATACACAGCCGGGTTCTTTAATAGAATAAACCTAAACGATAAAAAGGTATAACATGTGAACAATTTTTAATTTTGTGTTTAATTATTTATTTTTACTTGAAGAAATTCTACTCATTTATCATTTAAATGTAGTAGTATTTTACAATGAAAAAGTTATCGTGATACTATTTAAATTCAGTAACACGTTTAATTTATAACAAATCCTTTGAAGGGTATTTTTTTAAAAAAAAAAAAATAAACAAATTGAACCAATTAATTTGATAGTTACTTTACTGCGTCATTGTCTTACGTCATTTTTACTTCGCCGCGGACAAGTTTTCCGAAATCCGAACAGCAAATATTATTGTTTGATTCGGAATAACGATCCTCTTTAATTATATATAAATCATATGTATGATCAAATTTAAAAAAGAAAAAAGAAAAAAAAAAAAAAAAAAAAAAAAAAAAAAAAAAAAAAAAAAATTTACATTTGAAATGTACGTAAAATAAATTATAATACATATATATATATATGTTTATTACATGTTTGAATGATTCACATTTTGTGATCTCTGTCTTACCAATTATTTTAATTCGAGACACCAATACCACATTTCCCCCATCGGTGTGAACTTCACCGACTAAAACGATAATTTTTTTTTTTTTAATGAGAAAAGAATAAATAAAAACAAACCGAATAAAGATTAACGCCTCATAAAACTTGAAAGTAAATAGACTTTATTTAACCCCTTTATTATATATACACCTTAAACACCGACAACGTTAAAAATCGGCGACTAAATTCTGTCGTGAACATGATTCACAACTTTTGTAGTAAATTATTTTTTATCTTTTACTGCGCCTGAAAAATCATCAAATCACCATTAATGGTTAATTTTTTCAACCATTTTTTTATAAACTCTTCATTATCGGTTACGGATATAAATCTGTCTCTTATACACATCTAGATGTGTATAAGAGACAGCTTTATTATCGGTTACGGATATATAAAGTTGAAAAAATAAAATAATTTATACCGTACAAATCAACTTAATTCGATAAACATTTCGCATTATACTCCTTAAATAAGTCGATTTCAAGTTTTTTTCTACTTTTTAATTTCCTCTTTTTTCTCTTCCTCATTTCATTTCTTTTTGGAAATTTTTTTTTTTCTTCTTCTCACTTTTTTGAAGTTCTTTATTATTATTATTATTATTATTATTTTGTTTTTTTTCTTTATATAAAATTTCTTTGAATTTTTCTTTATAGGATGGATATTCCCCCCGTTACGACTACAACAGAGGCTGTCTCTTATACACATCTAGATGTGTATAAGAGACAGCTACAACAGAGGTTAACAGCTTGTCGCAAAATTTCATCAAGTTGGTGGTTATTTCTTTATATTTCTAAGCATTTTTTTATTAACATTATTTCCACATGGTTTTTCTTTACTATATATAGCAAAAATCTTAATGCGGGTAAAAAATGCTCAGGAAAAAAAGAATCAAGGAGTTTTCTCACTTTTTGCCTCAGTGCGTATTTAACCCTAAAAAGAAATTTTTCTTATTTCTATATTGTTTGTTTTTTCTGAAATATTATTGGACGTTTAAAAATGATGATGTGTTTAAAACTTTTTTTTACAATCCCTTTTAATTTTTTTTCTTTAATTTTTTTCTTTCTTTCTTTTTTTTTTTTTTAAAAAAAAAAAAAAAAAAAAAAAAAATTTGAAGTATAAATTAAAGAAAGTATACTAACGTTAAACCCATTTTTTTTTTTTGTTTTCGTTCATTTTTAGGTTAAATATTGAACCTTCCCAACAACCATCTTTAGTTTCGGATGTTCTTGAAGAAATATTTTCTTTGGTTGTAGAAATAGATACTCATTCATCAGTTTTTTATTATTATGATCATGATGCTTTAAAAAATTTATACGCTTGCGCTTTAGTAAATCGTCAATGGTGTACAAGCGCAGTAAGAATTTTATGGAGAAGACCTTTTGGACCTTTTCATAATGGAGGTCATAAATTAATTACAACTTATTTAAGAGGATTAGATGTTGAAGAAAGAAGAGATTTAAAACTTAAAAGAATAAAATTACCTACAGTTTCTCCTATACCGATGTTTAATTATCCTTCTTTCATACGTCATCTTGATTATGGTGAAATGTTATTTGCTGTAGAATCTTGGTGTGCAACTTTACCAAAAAGAAGACCAAATAGTGTTTTATCTGTTATGAGAGTATTATTAAGATTATTTTTACATAATTCTGGTCCTTTATCATCATTAAAACTTTCATCTCTTGGAGAAGATTATCATGATGAAAAAGTAATGATTTTAGCTGAACCTGAAATTAGAGGTTTAATTACATCAGTTAGAACCCTTTCTCTTGATGGATTTGATTATAATCAACACGGTTTATTAGTTAGATTACCAGATTTATGTAAAAATGTAGAATATTTACAACTTCGTGGTTGGTATGGAAATCAACAAAACGAAGATACAACTACAACAACAACAACAACAAATACAACAACAACGATAAATTCAACAACAACAACTAACAATAATATTACAACTACAACATTACAAAAAGATGCTGCTGCAATATCTTTACGTCGTTTAATAAAAGCACAAAAATCTTTATTATCTTTAGATATGATTGATTGTAAAGCGTACCTTGGTCATATAATATCAGCTTTAGATACGCAATCAATCTCTTTAAGAAAAGTGAAATTTCGTTTGGTTGATTTTAAAGATTGTGGACCATGGGATGGTTTGGCAACTTGTCATAGGTTAACGAATTTAGAATTTTGGTTATGTAAAGGAATAACTCAAAAAATGTTTAACCCTTTAATCAATGCCACTTTCCCCGAATTGGATGAAGTTAAAATGTTACAATATGGAAAAGGTTGTGAAGAATTTAAAATTTGGATAAATAATATGAATGGGACCACTATTAAAGAAGATAATTTAGAAGATTCAGATGATGATTCTGATTCATAAACATTTTATTTTTTTGGACTCATGGTATATAAAAAATTAATGATAATATATAATTTTTTTTTTTTAAAAAAAAAAAAAAAAAAAATATTTAAAAGAAGGATTTAAAAAAGGATTCAATCAATATCTCAATTGGTTAAAATACGCGTTTTGAAATATTTCTGCGGTTCATGACTGATCCGCAAGGTTATAAAAAAAAAAAAAATAAAGTTTTAGGGTTATCGAATCACCGAAATCATTCGGTTGTTCATATTTTTCCATATTGATTCCATTTTAAGATGATTTATGACCTTATGACATAATAATTATTAATAACTCATTAGCAAATATGAAATCACCTTAAAGATTCACAAAAAAAAAACCATAAATACTATAAATTAACTATTTGTGCGAATCATCCGACATTTGTGAAACTGAAAATGATTAATATGATAAAATCGAACCATTTTCTTTTTTCATTCAATCGTACAACGTTAAAATTGAACAATTGGATTTTTTTTAAAAAAATTCTTGAGAAAATGAATCTTATAAATATCACAAAAAATTTCGAATTCTTTAATTTTATTAAAAAAAAAATATTTTTTTCTTTAACAATGATAAAACCAAAAGTTCCTTTTAATATTTCATCTGATATAATTGAAGAAATATTATTTTTCATTCAAATAGATGATATAAAAACATTATATTCATGTTTATTATTAAATCGTCAATGGTGTCAATTAGTTATTCCAATATTATGGAAACATCCTTTTTATTATGCACAAAAAGGCAATTCAAAATTAATTTCAACAATATTATCATTTTCAAATTTAAATAATGATAATGATGACGACAACGATGATGGTGATGAGGATGATGATGATAATAGAAGAAAGAATAATTCAATTCGTCGTAATAGAATGACTTTTGATTATATTTCAATGATAAAACATTTACATTATGATTTCATGATAATTTCTATTGAAAAATGGTATAAAGATAATACCAATTTCTTTAAAAATAATATAAAACTTTTTAAAAATAACAACAATTACAGTTTCGATTCTTTTAAAAATAATAATAACAATTCCTTTGACAATTCCTTTAAAAATTCCAATAAACATTCCTTTAAACATAATAATAACAATTCTTTTAAAAACAATAACGATAACAATTCTTATAATTATTCTAATGATTCCTTTAAAAACAATAACAACAATTCTTATAATAATAATAACAATAATTCTAATGATTCCTCCTTTAAAAATCATAATCATAACAATTCTTTTTCTTTTAAAAACAACAATGAAAATTTTAAAATTGTTAATAATAATAATTCTCTTAATAATATTTCTTTAATTATGAAATTTTTATTAAGATTATTTATAAAAAAATCGGTTAAATTAAATAGTCTTTTCATTTTATCAAATCATGTTTGTTGGAATAATAATTATAATTTAAATAGATATATGGAATTGATTGATCCTGAATTTAATGATTTCTTTAAAAATTTGAAATTTCTTTACTTGGAAGTTTATTCTCATTATCCATCTATTAAATTTTTACAAAAATTTTCTTTAATGGTAAATAATTTGGTAAGTTATCATCTATATATATATATATATATATTTATATATATATATTTTCATATTTATTTTTATATGAACGTGAATTATATGAACGTGAATATGATGATTAACCCTACTTTTTTTTTTTTTTAGGAAATCTTACATTTGAGAACTCCGTTATTGGGTTTAATGAGATTTCCAAATAATATGGAAGATATCATGACAAAAAATTTATGTACATTAATAAGATCACAAAAAAAATTAAAAGAATTTAAATTAATTAATTCTATAAAATATACATCATTATTCATTTCATCATTATCATCAAATGATTATCTTAAAAATTTAATATTATTAAATACAAAAATTGATGAAATTGATCCTTTATGGAAAATTTTAAAAAATTCTTTTAATTTGGAAAATTTTAAAATAATTAATTGTGTTGGATTAAATTATGATCTTATCTTACCTTTTTATAATAATATTATTAATAATAATAATTATAATTTTAATAACGTTAATAATTTTAAGAAATTAAATTTAATTATAATAGAAAAGAATCAATCTATTGATATTAATGATGAATTGAATTTTTGGGTAATTAGTAGATGTAAAAAAGGTTTAAATGATTGTGGACTTTTGGAAAGTGGAAGATTATTTGATCCTGTTAATAATATTAAATGTATTAAATGTTGTAAATAAAGTAACAGTAATGTAAATATCATTTGTACAGAAATATTATTTATTTAAATTGTGAATATTGAAAATAAATTACAAAATATATTGAATAATAACTAACATGCATGAAATTTTTTATTACATCAAATATATTCTTCCTTATTCTCATTGAGAAATTTCAGCATACATTGCTTGGATTTCTTTTTGAAATCTAATTTTTGCTTGATGTCTTTTCAATTTAAAAGTTGGAGTAAGCAAATCATTTTCTGTAGAAAATTGTTCATGCGTCAAATAAATGTTTTTTACACATTCAAACCCTTTTAAATCATTTGTTTTACCAAATTTAATAAGAGTTTGAAGAATATGATTTTTAACGTCTGCATTTTTACAAACTTCTTCAAAAGTTTTGCCTTCAAGACCATTTTGTCCTGTCCATTTCATAAGAATCTCTTCATCAGGAACGATAATACCTACTAATGAAGCTTGTAAAGATTCACCGTGAACAAATGCTTGAAGGACAAGTTCATGTTTACAATATATGCTTTCAATCTAAAAAAAATTATAAAATTAATCTAATTATTCACATTTACGATAGAGGAAATTAAAAATTCATACCTTTTCAGGAGCTATATATTCTCCCTGAGCCAATTTAAAGATATTTTTAAGTCGATCAATAATAACTAAACGACCTTGATCATCCCAAAGTCCAATATCACCAGTATGACACCATCCATCTTTATCAATGGTTTCTGCAGTTTTATCAGGAAGTTTATAATATTCTCGAAAGACTACAGGACCTCGAACACAAACTTCACCTCGAGGATAAGGTTTATCCTGAGATGTATAATTCATTTCTGGTACATCAACCAATTTAACCTCACAACTAACTTGTGGTGGTCCAACATGACCGGATTCAGTATCACCAACCAAGGACTTTTTTTAAAAAAAAAAAATTCATAAATTAAAATAATGAAAGAAAAAAAAAAAAATATTGGTGTATATTTATATACTTACTATAGTTAAACCGCCAGCATTTTCTGTTTGACCATATCCTTCAAATACATTAGCTGAAAAAGCGATTCTCAAAAAATCCATAACATCCGGTGCAATTGGAGCAGAAGCAGATAACATATATTTAACTCTACCTCCAAGTCGAGCTCTAATTGGAGCAAAAACTACTTTATCCCACCCCCAATGATCAACACTTCCATGACTTAAGCCATCTTTCTTTGAATTAAAAGCTGCATTAAACATCCATTGCGCAATACCACCTTTCACTTTAACTCCAGCCATTACTTTATCATAAACACGATTAAGTAAACGTGGTACAGAAATAAATACGGTAGGTTTCAATTCAGCAATATCATCTAATAATTTCAAGGTATCACCTTGATAAAATCCAATCGAAACACCTCCATAAGTCATATAAGCCATATTTGCTAGTTCAAACACATGAGCTAAAGGTAGATAAGAAATGTGTACATCATTAGGCGTTCCATTAAACATCTTTCCTTCATTTGCAAGCCACTGGATACCGCCAACTACTGCCATAAAATTATTATGAGTCAAGACAACACCTTTAGGTGTACCAGTTGTACCGGAAGTATAACAAATAGAAGCAATATCATCAGGTTTAGGATTTTCTGCTTCAACAGGTTGAACTGATCCATCTTTTTCAATATCGGAAAAATTTGAAATTCTAACATTTGCAAGATTTTCTGATCCTGGATCACAATTATCAGAAATAATAATAGTTTGAAGAGATGGTAATGATCCTTTCATTTCAAGAAGAGCTCGACCTTTGTTAGAAGTGGTAAAACAATATTTCATCTCAGTTTGGTTTATAATATATTCAATAGCGTCAGTACCTAATGTATCATATAATGGAACAGGGATGAAATTATATTGATAACAGGCAAGTAGAGCAATTACATATTCAGGAGTATTAATTGAGAAAAATCCTAAGGGTTCTTTAGGATTTAATCCCAATTTTCTTAATCCGGAACCAATATTAGCAACCCGGGCTTGAACCGTATTATAAGATTCCCATATATAGGGACCCGCAACTCCATCTTTAATTTCTCGATGACCCAAAAAGTTTCCATCACCTATTAATTAAATATTAATATAATGATGATGATATAATAAAAATATATTTTAAATCAATTTTAAATCAATTTTAAAACTATTTTATACCAATGTTAAATCAATTTAAATCAATATAAATCAATTTTACCTGCTTTTTTAACACCAAACATAAAATTTTCATATAAAGTAGTAACTCCATCAGGATGAAAAATTAATTTATCAGGAGAAAGTGCATTTCGACGAGGTTTTCCTTCTCCAGGAATATCTGGTGCTCCAGCTACCTCTACTGAATATTGATGTTTTTGTGATGAACTGCTCATCTTATAATGTCGTACGTAAATCTGTATATCTTTTTTTTTTAAAAAAAAAAAAAATGAGAAAAGAAAAAATAGGAAAGAACGGAGAAAAAACGCAGTTTTTTAATACGTTCATCAAAAAATTCCTAATTATGGAATTTCAATAGGAAAATCAGGGATTACGTGACTTAATTTACCTTATTTAGTGCGTCATACTAAATTTTTTGTAACGTTTTCTCTATTAATAGTTGCCTAGTAAATATTTTTGTTCGAAAGAAAGATCAAGTTCGTTTAAATAGTTTTTCCGAAGTAAAGCCATTAATGGTTAAGTACATACAATTGTGTAATATTCAATAATTTCTAGCTATACTATTTTTTTTAAAAAAAAGAGAAAGAGGGAGAGGGAGAGAAGGAGAGGGAGAGAATGAAAGAAGGAAGGAAAAAAAAAAAAAAAAAAATTTTTTTTTTAATACAATACAATAAAAAATTTTCTTATTATAAAACAATGAACGGAAGATATTACACAAAAAAGCAAAAAAATTTTTTTTATATATAACACTGCATAATTCATCATACCCCAAATTTTAAATATCGATTATACAATTTAAGTTAAATCAGTTAATACAAAAAAATTTTTTCTAAACTAGGCTCATTTATTTCAGGTTTATTCCGGATTTTTCAATAACACCTAAATTAAGAGAAAAGTAATCTATTTTAGTTATTAAAGTTCAATTTATGCAAAAAATTATATTTCACAGTTCAATTATGAATAAAGAATAAGAATAAAAAAGGATATTCAAAAATCATATCAGTAAATTACCGGGATAAAAAATCAAGAAAATCCTTCTATCTTTTTACATTATCCGTAAATATTATTATATTTTATACATTTTAGGTAATTATATAATGCATAATTTGTATAAATTGTGCGCAGTTTGTGTAAATAAGTGAATTAGTAAGTTTAGTCACACAATTGTTAAGTTTATAGTCACAATGCAGCACAAATATATTTTTCACGCGAATCATTAACAAGAATAAAACGTGTTCTTTTCTTCTTCTAGCATTATAGAAAAACGTGTTCTTTCCTTCTTCTAGCGTTATAGAAAACGTGTTTTTCTAAAAAAACGAGTTTTTTTTAATTAAATCTATTAATATAACATACTTAACAAAGAAATACGGCTTTTTAAAGAAAGATCGTTGATATTGTCTTTTAAAAGTGACAACCTGACAGGAAAAATTATGAAATTTGTGTAGCCACATTGCCACACGAAGTAAAACACGCGAAATTATATGGTCTGTGTCATTAAACATGAGATTCTAATGCATTATCATAATTTTTACACGCTAATTTGATTGTGGCGTACTTTTGCACATAACAGCTTTGATTATTTATTAAAAAAGAGAAATTTTTAAACACTTCAAATTTTTGATTGGATAATGAACTGGTCAGTAGGTAATAAATGATTGGTTCATTCATGATTTTTGAGGCGCAGTACCGTAGTCTACCTCAACATTATGTGGTGACATCAAAAGATCGATAGATCGATCCTAAATTATAGATGTAATTTTTGGTTAGTCCATCCTGTCACAATCATATATTACTTTTCTTTGTGAAAAAAGAAAACAATAGTAATGAAGAGGCCATTGCACAATTGACGACAATTGACATTTTTAATTCATTAAATAATTTAAATTACTTTATTTAATTTTACTTATAAAAATCTAATCTTTTTTTTTTTTTTTATTTTATTTTTTATTTTTAATTTATTTTATTTATATCTTACTTTATAACTAATCTATACA